CCAGAACAAGATGACTCCAAGTCAAGTGATGGTAGATTATGGCTTTAAGTATATTGCATTCGTCCGGTTGGTTGTTGTGTAGTTTCGCTTAATAAATTACTTCGGAATAGTATTGTGTTTGGTCGCCAATTCTTTCATCGAAATCTTTTTCTTCAGATCAGCATGGAGGTTTTTTGCTCGGTATATTCTTATATTGTTGTTGATTATATCAATAATGCTATTTATCTCATAAATAAGTTTATTAATTGGTGAGTGAAGTAATTATCCTGATATGTAAATTTCGTTTTTAGATATAATGGTTCATTTGTTGTTTCGGGAGTTCCTCCAGGTTCTTATATTGTGGAAGTTTCAAATGTTGAGTATGCTTTTGAACCAGTGCGAGTTGATATTAGTTCGAAAGGTAAAATAAGAGCGAGACGATTGAATTTACTACAGGTGAGGTATTTATATTCATTGGATCATTGTTTTCAGAACAACTAAATACAGTAATAATTACTAATCAGTTCGTTGGAGTTGCAATTTCTTAATTTAAGACTCACTTATAGTCAATTGTTCTCGTATTTTCCATTTTTCATTCCAAAATCACTGAGCACGTTTCAGCCATCACTAGTGTCCTCAGTTCCATATCCACTGCGCTTAAATGCGTTACACCGAGTTAACTATTTTCTGCCTAGGGAAGAATGGCATATAACGGATATGCTTATTAATGAAATGGTGTTAATGATGGCTTTACCTCTTATTTTGCATGTTGTTGCATCAAAACTTGTCAGTGCGAATGATCCTGAATTTAAAAAGGTGATTTGTAATAAAGTTCTTTTTTTTCTCCAACATAGTGAACTTGCAATGTTGATAACATGATACCGGGGTATTTATATCAGATGATATTTCGTTATTCCATACTACAATGTCATTGCCGGCAGAGTCTGCAGCTGTAATATAAAATTGTTAATGTTTCATATGAAAATGAAAAACTGTTCCGCTGTATCGTTGGTCATAATCAAGCGTATTTCTCTTTAAAAAGCTGTTTGATTTCAATCTATTGATATCTTTAATCCGAGGGAGCCATTTAGTAGCTCACAGGTTTTCCAGGAAATGGTTAGAAGTATGCTGGAAATGGATTTTCCAGATGCTTCAGAAGTATTGACTTCGTGGCTAGCAGGTTATTCGAAGAAGCCAAGAAAGTCTGCAGCTGGAAACAAAAAAGAACAGGAAACAATCATATATGTTCCTTGAAATTTTGTAATAAGTGTGTAATTATGCTCCGTATAATGACTGAGAGTGCATCAAATAATGCTGCTTATATGCTTTATCCGCATGTAGAATTTATTTTTCGAATTTGCTTTCCTTCATTTTTATTTCTTTAGTGAGCAGTTTGATAATTTGTTTGGTGAATTTTAACGAGAATGCTGTCCAACTCATTCGTATTTATGATATTTAATGAATTAACACATGCATTCGCAGTATTATGTTGGAAATGAGAGAAATTTGTTCTACTTTGGCTTCATTTTTGATAAATCTTTTTCTCTTCTACGGGTTATCTGTGCCGTTTGATGCTGCGGCTTCATCTAATTTGTTCATTGTAAGCATGTTTTGATATCTCTTTCACGTATTCATTAATATTGCGCCTAACAAGTACTTTGTGAACTGTCATACACAGTATTAAAAATCTTTTGATTTGAAAATGATTTATGATACTATTAACAATGACAACGATATGAAATCTTGATTACTTTTACATGAGAAATGGCATTGCTTCTGCACTATCATTATTATTTACAATCATGACAGAATTATTCACAACAGTGATATACGTGTATTTTTATTCCCATACTTCTATGGTTAATATTTTGGATACTACCATTGTCAACAATATTATCATCAAAACATTTTGGATTTCACTACAGAATACAGCATTCAAGATCGTAACGACATAAATTATTTCACGAAAGGAAGCCTACTTGACTAGCATATTGATCACCGGATATTTCTGCGATCTCATCATTCTTGAAGTTTGCAACAGGTCTGTAAAAAAATAATATCTAATGTCATGGAAGACATCACCGATGCAATACTTTCAAATTTAGTCAACTCTACAATTCTTATGAAATGAAAGTTTTGCTCTTCTTGAAGTATTGTACTTCGAGAAAGATGGATCTGGGTGATGCGAACAACGTAATACAATACACAATTTTCTGAACTTCATATGCATCCCCGAACTCAAGGAAAATCAAAGTTTTACAAAACAATGAAAACTGAATTCAAATGGCTTTTTAAATGCGAAAGTACAGTGAACCAGTTTTGATTCTAGAAGCAAACAAACAACAAACCATTAAATGTACAACATACAGATTTTCATTAATACAATAATCTTCTAAACCTATTCATGATGGCTGATCCATTCTTTCATAAAACAGCAAATAAGCGCTTTTCTTGTCAACTTGCGACTCTTTGACAGCCTGGAAAAAAAGTCCTTAAGTACTGATTTGAATAATTTTGAAAATAATAAAACTGCAATAGCAAAACAGTAATAAAATTTACCTGGCAACGACTATCATTTAAACTGAACCACTGGTTACCGTTTTTCGCATGTGCAACATAATGACCTGAAGCCATAGCACCATAGTGATTCTAGAAAGAACTAATTTATGCTTCGGATATTACTTCAGACATTTTCATGATAGATAAGAAACACCACTTACTGCAATAGCAAAACAGTTATATACAGTTGATGTTTTGACGTTCGGGTCTGGAAGCCATTCTCTTAAATCCAAATTTTCCAGTGGGAAATCTACTACTTTGCATGACTTCATCCACTTTCTTTCAGATTTGACACAGACAAATCTTTTAAAGTGTATAATCTACAAGAAAAGTGTAATAGAACTAAAATTGGCCTTCGTAAACTATTCATGGTTCTGTAAATCGAACAGCAATATTAATGATATAAAAGAAATCTTGGATCCTCATTTTTATTCATTGAGATAAAATCCAACCAATATTTTTGGCAAACGCCAAATAGCTAATGATTTCGTTGTTGGAGACTTTTTACTGCAAGGTTTACATACAATCTCATCATCCAGATGTTCAGCTTGCATAAAATCATGCAAACATGACAATAATGAACATGGTCGATAGTGTATTTCCCACGCACGCAACACTGATTCATCATCTCTACATAGCTAAAATAATAGTTCAAATCAGTATTCATTTGAAAAGATATAGATACTGAAATATTCAAAATATGACATTGACTGACAAGATAAAACAGCACTAAAATTATTTTTCTCACGCTTTACCTGCGATGCAAATAGCAAGTTAAAGAATTAAACTGTCACGGAATTCAACAATTTTCAGTCATATATCAAGTTTTTCCTATCAAATTCTGTGATATGAGAATAAAAGAAACATATATATATATATGTATTTATAAAAATTTTCTCAAATCTAAATTATAACAAGATTTCACCAATTCGACAGAATGTTGATATCGTAAATAGAGAGCAGTTGGTTTCCAATCAACAGAAACTGCTGTCAAGTTATCTTCAATGATGCTATCATTGTTCGGAATCAAACATCCACGACAAAATGCAGGCCACTCACATTTTGAACACCATTCAAATGATAATTTTACGCAACACAGATCAAACGGATAACCATTTCTGATATCTTCTGCTCTGGAGCAAATCTTTGTTCAATATTTTTATAATCTCCTGCTCAAAAGCTCATTCCCCCCATTAAAACAATTACTTATAGATGTAAAGGACGTAATACATATAAACTAACTACAACGGTTGAAAGAAGAAACGAAGGGTTAGAAATAGGTTTAAAAGTTTGGATCATAAATTATTTTATCTTACGCATCAATAGCTCGATTAGCTCCTCTAGCTCGCTGCTGCTTCCCAGGAAATCCATTTTGTAAAAATCGAGAAACATGTAACCAAACTTCCTCATACAGCTTACTACCAGTAGTTTTACCCTGTTAAATGTAGAATGTAACACTAACTAATATCTAAAAATTACGGATCATGATCCATTTGACTTTCTTAAGAATTTTAACTCATCGAAGCAAATATCATGAGACTTCATCCACGTAATGTAGGAATGAGCTACTATTAAAAATTAAAAACTGTCAATAAAATTAATACTCACTAACCGGTGTAAAGCGTAAAATGAGAGGAACACCAAATACACGCGCGACACAACCACGAGTAGCACCCAACAAATATGAATCATTGTATTGCTGAAATCGTAATAGGGATAACATTATAGTAAACAAGAACACAGAAGTTAAATTTCTAAACAATAGAGAATGAAAGAAACTTATCTATAAATATGCAAAATACAAGTATTTCTGTCTTTTGCTCGGTCAAAAAGATCTAAAAATTTTTCTTTTTAAAATGTCCTCAAAGTTATTACACTTTCAAGTGAAGTGAACCATGAATTAATGAAATTTGTATTCATGCTCATGCAAATGTTTTCTTTGAGTATTTTCAAAACATCCCTCATCTAAATTATTCTTCCAAAGTTTTGGATATTACTAATTGAATACTCTGAAATAGTAAAAGTAGACCAGTTTAAACCTTTGCCTTTATCTTGAAGAAACTACCATTTTACGATGAGCAGCAATAATTGTTTCTGCAGCTACAAAGCGTTCTAGATTTGATTGGTCTTCTTCAGCAGGCAATTCAAATGCATACAAAAGCGCATCATTTGGATAAACGCAAACTGTACTATTATCATCATCAACTGACTCGCTAACTTCCTGCTGAATCACCACCGAATAATAAAACTTTTAAAAATAAAACAGGAGTCTTTTGATAAAACAATAGCACAAACCTTCATAAACATACATAATACAACTGCCACCAAATTAAACTGAATGATCTTATTTGAACGAGTTATTAGCATGACTAACTAAGATCGAACATAATGCAAGCAACTGTAACTAGTGCAGATAAAAGATTAAGACACAAAATTACATTTTGAGAAATGTAAAGGAAAAAAACAAAGTAAACAAACATACCAACATCTGGCCTGCACGATTCAAACAAAGAATCTGAAATGAGTTTAAACGTAATCCAGAACTAGCTGCTATTTCTTTCTTGAACATGCCGATTGTAACATCATAACTTAAGCGAAATGCATAACGTACAGGAATTTGTCCATCTCGCTTTACGACTGCAAAAGAGGATACAAGTTGAATGAGTCAAATATTGATGGCATTAACAGAATCGATTATCCAATTTTTTACATGACTATAGTACTCAAACAAATTCATTCCTTACAACTGTAATTAAAAAATATGATTTTGTACAATGGAACCGACCAACAATAGAAATAAGAAGTAATTGATCGATTGGTATGGGTAGTTGTAAGCAGGTGAAAGCATCGAATCTGAAGGAAAATAGTACTGAAATTTGTAAGAAATATAATTTGGTAACACCAAAATCCAAACATTAAGGGCTATGAACCACAGTAATACCTGCACGATACTGCATTGCAATCTAAACAAGTAAGTGTTGAGCGCAACTGACCAGTAAACAAATCTACAATAATACTTTTGTCACGTTTAAGGTGAGCATCCCAAGCCTATAAAAAATATTACTCGTCAGTGCATTGAAAAATCTGAAAATTTGGTAAAAATAATATTAAATATGAAATACCTCTTCAGCGACAACAGAATCTGGTCGACCATCGCTGTCATTGAGTTCAATAAATGGCTTGCTCTCAATCTGATTTAAATCTTCATGCAACATATCTAATAAAATAGATAAAAATTCCTGGCAATCGTGTTGCGTTCGGTCAGCAAATACTGAACCAGTACAGTGTCTGATGGCATCCTGAAGGTAAGTAACTACTTTTCATCAAAATTTACAATTTACTGGTGCAGGAAATATTTCATGGAAAACCGGGGATTTCATTCTCATTCACGGAAAACAAAAAAATATATACAAAGCCGAGACAGTTTTACCACAAACATTATAAGAAATATTGAGATTTAGATTGAAAAATCTAAAACAAGGTTGTAGTCGACATTTAAATTTAAATTTTTAATATTAAAATGAGATCTAACCTTTCTAATTTTTCCCCCACAATTACGATCATTATTTATAGTAAAGTTTTGAAATTTAAATTACTCATGTTAAATACAGACAACATACCGTAAAATTCACAGGTTTTTGTGAAAAAAAATTCGATGAGCTTATTTCAGACTATATACTTAATTGCAAAGTAAAATAATTCTTTAAAGTCATGTATCACATAGAAGTTTTATAGCAACCCCAAATTTTTGATAAATAAAAAAGAACACATAATCTGCTCACGAAAATATCAGGGAGCATTTTTGAAATTTAAATATATGTTTCACCCGTAATTTAATCGGAGCAATGTTTCGCTTTTTACCAGACCACAGCTCTTTAACGACGTTCCCGTATTCCAGAGCTATTATTCCTTTTGATTTCAACCTTCAAATATGTTTTCAATAATGAAAACAGCAAATTAGAACTATTTTGTAACGCAGCTACGTGAACCAATGCTAACCTTTTCATATCATCTTTGTGTCGACCTTGAATAAAATAATTTGTTAATGGTCGCGTGTTACTTAAACACTGCAAGGCACTGTTCATGTAGCATGTATTGCCCATATTATACAAGCCGGTGATACCAGGAACATGGAAACCATCTGAATTTTCTCCAGTATCTCCTTCAATACTGATACATTCCAAGCAGCTAACTTCTTCTGGCCAGCTCATATCAGCATTGCGTAACTCCAAAAGAAACTTGAAAACAATTCACATAACAAAGAATGAGTGCAATCAACCATTTGCTCAAAGGATAACAGCAATGTTAAACATTATAGTTTCGAATTCTTTTTTAAAGTTTTACTGAGAATTTTTTGTCATGTATTAACAATTCTTGACCTTCAAAAGCAAACAAATGAATTTTATCTCTGATATTCACAAAGGTGATAATGCAAACAGCACAAATCATGCTAAGATTACAGAAAAATTTTGAATAACATTTTGAAAATATACTTGGGCGTTTTGCTTAATTCTGAGATCATTAAGAGTGAGATTATCGTTATCCAACAAGCGCTTGCATGGTGCACCATCAACTTCGATAGTCCACAAACGAGCAGATTCAATATCCTCTATATGCAATTGGTGTGCTAGAAGCTCTAACAGTTCAGAAATTGTACAAATACGCGATTCCGATACAACACACCATGGTAACCTGCGCAAAGAAGACTCCTTATTCCATTCTGAAAAGCAATAATGCTTGACCTACATACTCACATAGTTTCTAAAGTACTTTTGTCAAACATGTTCAAAACAATAAAATAAAGCATCCACAGTCGCACCAAAACAACAAAAATCATCAAACATTCGACTTTGAATTTATTAATGACTATTATGATATTCTTTCAGGATGACAACAAATTAAAGACATATTACATACGGTACTGACCGAAAGCAGAATGTAACCATCCTCCAGATGCCGTTCCATGTCTAAGTATTAATAAAGTCAATGGATAAAGTTCTATAACAGGTTGAGTAGGATTTACTGCTTTTGAATCCAAAATTTTTGCAGGAACAATGCGTCGCTGAAGCGAAATTCCTTCCCGTGCAGCACTTCCATGCCATCGCAATAATGCTTTCCAAAGGCAAGGTGCTAAAGCTTCGAAATTCTTATTCATTATTAAGTTTTGAGCTAATGGCGCACCCTCATTTGATAACGAAGGAACCTAAAAATTATCTCAAATATATTAAATAAATTGCCTAAGCACTAAAATTTAACATATGCAGAATAAAATATGAGAAAATTACCTTATTGGACCAATCATTTTTTTGCTTGACAGCGATAATTGATGCATTGTTGATAGGAGGCACTTTTGAATGCGACATCAGTGCATACACCCACTGACGCCACCATTCTGAGGAAATTATATTCCACTCATTGAATGCGCTCAATTCAACACGACGCTTGAATTCACTTAAAATAGATCACTTAACTGAACTTGTATTACAATACAAAATAAAATCGCATTTTTACTCTATTTAGCTAAAAAAAAAATTCAACAACTTTAATTTTTTATTCAACGAACTGCTTTCAGAGAGCGTTGATAAAAGATATCCTAACAAAATATTAAAATGAGATAAAATGTTTGCGAAAAAGTTACCTGACGACTGTCAATTCAACTTCAGCCGAACTTGGATGCAATCCCAAACAAATATGACCCAGCTGAAAAAATTTTGCAATTTTTTCTTGAGCAGTATAATGAATGTATTGAGAAAATGACAGACAAAACAGATGACTTACAACTTGACAAAGCAAGCTTCAGTGATACCACTTTCTGATAGCAAACCTGAACAATTATTTCAAGCAAATGATCTACACATTTTGTTTCATTGGCCCAACAAACAAAATCTGTTAACGAAGCACGGCCTAATTCATCTACGTTTATTTTTTGCACCTCCGTATTCTGAAAACATAATATTTCTAAGGGCTTATTCAAATGCTTGTAAAATAATTAGAACGTTTTTGACTCCTGAAAAGGACGAACTTACAAGGTTTAATTTGGAATACAAGGAATTTATATCTTCCTTTGAGAGGTAGCCATCACTATCTGAATCGAAAACTTGAGCAATAACTGAAACATAAATGATGGCATTCTCTTTTGTTTACATTCAAAATTTCCATCATTTTTGTAACATTAAATTTCTTTCTTACATTATCCTGCAAAGAATTTCGTATAGTTAGCCTTCAAACAGATCTTTTGAAACAAGCATCATACCGATTATCAATAAATCCTATCTTAAGCTATGCTCTGTTTATGCTACTATGGCAGTGTATCATTACTATAATAAGGCTAACTGGTTCCCAAGACTGCACATGAAACACACTGTTCTGAACAAATTTTTTCAAGTTAAAAGTAAAATGAAGCCTTGAACTGCATTTTTTAAAACCTGTTTGCAAAAATATTTCAAAACAACCATATGCTATATTTTAAAGATGAATCAGTGACGAAACTAAATTTCATGGATAGTGAATAACATCAACTTATCAGCTTTCATATTTTTTAAGCTTGCAAGTTAGCGGGAATATTAAAGCAGCTCATTAAATAAGATAAGCTAAAGTTGATGTACAATTGAGACGAGCACTGTCGGGTCCTCGACAAGAAGCAGAAAGTCCACAAACAAGTTCTTTAAAATCGACTAATCCATCACCATTTTCATCAAATGCACGAAATAAACCATCAATAAAATGATCGTCAATAGCACCACCCAGCAATGTGCCAAAACCATTCCTAGTAAGTTTACATAATTTCGTATCGTTGATTGAACCAAAGACTTTTTCCAATTCTTCGACCTCTGCTTCATCAACTACAATTTGAAACAAAGAGGTATGTGGTACGTAAAAGTACTATGTTTAATTAAATTACATGAATAAGATGTTGTCTTTGTATTGTATTGTTGGCAAAAGATGTACTTTAGAGGAATATTTTTAATTATTGGCATTTGTAAGCATGATATTTAAACAAACAGAAATCAAAGTGCTCTAAGTGTTTGAAACAATAAATTACCATCACCATTACGACCTTCATGAAATTGATGGTAAAAAAAATGAAAAGTCACTATATAAATATTCAAAGATCATAACACTGATGAACTTACGATGTGTAACACCTGCAAGCACTTGATAAAAGTTGTAGTGAATTTCCGAAAGGCGAGATGTAAGTTGTGGTGGATGATTGATCCATCGAGTTAATTCATGCCCATCTGACAAGAATTCTAAAGATAATACGATATGGAATAATCTTCGACTAGCAAAAAATTCAAGCATTAAACACAAATATTAATATTGAAAACATGAATGCGTGACAATTTATAATAAATACGAATATCAATATCAGAAAACAAACCAAATCGGGTATCAGTATCGACTTTCGTCAACAAAACAATTCCGACAATAAAATTTTGGAATGACAATTTTGCTGATCCTTGACAAAACTTTTCGAAAATAAGTGTACTTGTCGAACGTGGGATACCAGGATGACATAAAACGTCATTAAAAAATTCTTCATCAGATAATAAATCTCTACCATCCCATGCCGTTTCTAATCTTTTTAACTCATCTGCACTCACTGAAAATAATAAGTACTCATTTTTTTAAAACAGTCCAACTTTATATCTAGTAAGTATTATTTAAAAATAAAACAATATTGAGCAGTAAATAAAATTTCACAGAATTTTCGAAGTCTTAAAAATATGAATAAAATCTTACTGACATAACAAAAATTCATAACAAGAGGTACAAGGCCCTTAAAATTTTGGTAGTAAAAACAATAGATAACGTTATTGACAATTTTAAATAAAATATGCATTTAAAAGTCAAAAATTTATCAATCTGTAAGCGGATAACCTTAAAAAGTACCCTCCACACAAATAATGCTGTTTCGTGAAATAATGCTACGAGAGAAAAATAAACTAACGTAGATCTCGAGCTTCTTCAAAACTAATTAGAGAAGAAGAAGAAACAGACGGTGAAGATTCTCGATTTCCCATTGTTTCACCATCTTATGAATCCATCCTGAAAAATGACTGTCACCTAAAAAATCAATAAAACTACCAAATTTAGCGACAAGCGATCAATATATGCATATGATAAAATAAAATTCTTTCCAAAACAAACATATAATAGTCAAAACGTTACCATTAGTTTCATGATAAATTGCTAACTAATTTCGAATTTTAATCATCTAACGTTGTATTTGTCGCAAAGTTCGAACTCAGTTATACAAATTGAAATTTACATGTCTCACTGTATGCTGCAGTTATTTAGCAAATTTGGACTGTACATAATACAATGCAAATTAGATGGATTTAAATATTTGACACTTTTCAGAAGTTAACAGAATTCTTTGCCTTCAAGTAGTGTTGTTTGATTCACATCTCATAGTTTTTTCTAGATAAACTGCCTCTTTTGCACTGAGCAATCTTTCTGATAGAAAAAGTTGCATATTGTAAGTAATTTTAGTGCGTATTAAAAGATTTGATTAATAAAAGTTTAATTCAAGTTGGTTGCATTCTTTTTTGTGTTGAAATAAGTCCAACTCTTAAAACTTTTGTAATGAAAGCAGTACGTGACGTTGTTGATAAGTTTTTAATGATTAAAATGAAAACTAAAATAATGAAGCAGTTTTAAATCTCTTTGTATTTCTTCACGTTATCGACATGTTTTCAACTTGAAGAAATGTAGCACTTATATTTAAATAATTTCTCATGCTTTTGACGTGAAAAAAAGCGCATAGTTGATAGTTAATTTAAGCCTTATGTAAACACGCATGTTTATTTGTTGACATAATATACGCTATGAATTATACTTGTACGATACTTTTACGTTAATTGTTTCTTCAAGTCAGATAAGAATGTTCAAAATGCAGAAAAAAGAGTGAAGAAAAGTTCATGAGCAATAATTACTTTTGCAAGCAATGAATCGTTTGATTAGCACAAAATCCAATTAAGGACGGATTCTTTAGACACTTTTGCATTATTAAGATAATACACCGAAATATGTTCAAATTGCAACGAATTTTGTTTACTATTAAGTGATTGAAACAAAGAAGATAAGTATGAATTTCAAAGTTTTGGCATATTGTTAGAATAGCGACTCTTCATTTTCTATTTTCGACTATCAGTATAATGTCTTCCTGTCATATAATTTTAATTTTATTTGCATTTAAGGTTAATAAGAAGTAGAGTACAAAACTGATTACAAGAAATAATGACAAGCAAAATATAATTAATCTCATGAAGTAATCTCAAAAATAATTCACGCGGGATATTATGCGATTAATTGAACTACACAAATAGTTACTGCTGGAAGCAGAAAACAAGATTATTCTTAATAGACGATACTTGTGAAAATTTAACTCTCATGTTTGACTTCCATGAATGAAAATGAGTGTGTTGAATGCTTCTCAGGTTTCGCATGAAGATTTGATCTAGATTATTTCCAGTTCTACTCTATAATTGCTTAAGTAGGATATACATAAAATGTAATTAACACTTTTCTTAGCGATTTCAAAATTAATGGTTGATTCTTTTTAAACACTGATTACATCAGAATGCAAAAAATTATTTTAATCTTCAGCTTCAGATACATTTGAAATTCATTCAGGATTTTTGCAGTTATATTTTGAAGTATTAGCACATAGAAAATAACCTTCAAAGATTTGTTTCATTTTCTGTGGTAAAATTATATTAAAGATTCAGCAGCACAAAAAAATTAAATAAAAGATGAAAATTAAAAATGAATAATGAATTTAACTGATTTTTCGTGAAAACTAGATATTAATCTAAATAATCAGATCAAAGATAAGAACTGATAAATGAACTGACCTATAAATGATTTGAACGTGAATCATTAATGATTTATTTCTCGCACATATTTGCCAAAGTATCAAAATCAGCATTTCCCTTTCATTTCAGATTGTAAGTAATTGCAATTTCCGTCAATTTTTTCTACATCATTTTATTTTTTGCAAAATGAATTAATTAAAACTAAAACTGGAATGCATACAAGTGGATAGCATTCATCAGTAATTGTTATACTGTAAGAAGCACAGATCTGATCAACTCATAGCTTAATTTTGTAATTTGATTGTGTAGAATTAATTATTCTAAGCACTACTTTCTTTATTCAAATAAGACTTTTGTCATCTGTAATTTAGACAAAAATCAAAAATTTTAGACTATGCTTTACTCAATAAAAATTCTCTCTCTCAAAAAAACACAATTTTTTGTGTACAAATAAACTTATACAAGTCTGTGCAGTAACTTTAATTACTTTACAAATCTTTGCAGACGTTCGGAAAGCAAAGTAATATAATTTCGCATTAAGTTTATTTGCTTAACCTTACTGTTAGTCATTAAGATTTATTCTACGTTTTTCATTTACTTTTATTTTATTTATTTATTATTTATTCATTTTTATTTTTTCTTTTTTTATTTTGAATTTTTTTTATTTTTTAACGTCTTTTCATGCATCCATTATCACTGATACTGCAGTAACTGTTGTGATGAAAACATATGCTTTGTGTGAGATTACATAATGGGGAGTGAATGTGCTGAATTATTTACTTTGGTCAAATAAATTCTTTTTATTCACATTCAGAAAGCAATTTATTTGCTCAAATTCACTTCGAACTGTACTGAAAAAAGAGTCAAATACAGTTCTCCACGGTGATGGTGACATGTCACCTCATAACAGGTCGACATTCATCACAAACTTGATAATTCATTATTATTGCCATCTTATTTATTAATATATTCAGAAATTATTATTACTATAGAATGTAAACAGAAATTTCCATAATTAGAAAAACAACCATGCAGTGACGAGTTGTTTCATGCTTTGTTATACTTTGCTTTTAACGAAAATTTTTCTTGCATTCAGTTGGATGTAAAGATTACTTCATCCAATTAAATAATATTTAATTAGATAAAGTAATCTAATTAGTAGTGCTAATTTCAGTGTACTTTTTTTACATCAGTTTTTGATCTGAATGCTTTTTTACTCTGAATTCAAATGATTCAGAGGGACTATTTGAGTTATTATAAGTAAGTACGTATTGATAGAGGCTTGTTTTTCCATGATGTCTTCGTATTTTATGAAGTAATTAATAATGCCAGCACATTTTTTTGGATGTCTTTCTTGATTAGTGCTCTCAATGAATGTAATAACGAATCAACAACTAAGTCCATATATATGAAGAAGGTATTTACGTGTGTAAATCTTTCTAAATGTTTTTTGTCTTTCACTTTCCACCTCATCACGTTAGTAATTAAATACTTAGTCAAGTGCACTTCAAGTGTGCATGTTTACATAAATACGTGTACGTATGTTTATTAAAAAGAGATATCAGTGAGTTGCTTGTTAGTTAAAGGTGTGTGTATTTATGTTTCTTTCTGTCTCCGTATTTCGGCACGCATATGTATATATATATATATATATATAT